CTCACTCTCTCACACACACACACACACACACATTCACTCACACACACACACACACATACTCATACACACATACTCACACACACACACTCACACACATTCACACTCACACACATTCACTCACACACACACACACGCACACATTCACACTCACACACATTCACTCACACACATTCACACACACATACTCACATACTCACACACACACACAGTGATTGTTGAAGGTGCTGTGTGCTTCGCTCTGGTTCTGGTTTACTTACAGGCTGGCCGTCTTGTCCTGGTGGCCCCTGCGGGCCCCGGGGCCCTGGCTCTCCTGGTGTGTGTGGAGCAGCGGGTCCTGGAGGGCCTTGTGGACCTCGCTCTCCTTTCTCTCCTTTCTGCATGGTAATGACCTGAGAAAGCAGAAGAGAGTCAGCTGCGGAGAAGACCTGAGAGAGTAGAACAGAATCTGTGATAGAGATGGACTCACATTTCTGTCCTGTGAAGCTCCTTCTGATCTGATCGCCTCTGCAGTGATAGAAAAACAGATATCATGATGAAATCTAATTAATGCATATGAAAAATCTCCAGAAATCAGATGATCTCAGCATCGATAAAGGCTTGTCACGTAAACTCTGGGCTCAGGAAAATATCATGTGAATAACAGACGACTGCTGAAATGAGAGATGAGACTGACAGGATTAAAGACAGACAGGGATGATCTGAAGATGACTCTGTGAATGCGTTCACCTTTCGGACCACTGATGATGATGATGTCCTCTCCAGAGCCTTCCTCCAGGTCCTCATCATCCGTCTCAGTGAAGAACGAGGGAGATTCAGTAGGTGGCGCTCTCATCGGACCGGACTCTATATCCTCCGGCTAAACACCAGACAACCGAAGACAATACAGGAATGAAGCCTGAGAATCACTCCGTGGAATCAAGATATCATCGCTACCTAGGCCTTTTATTCAGATAAATAGTAGCGTACATAATATTATAAAAGGAATTAAAATAAAAAAATAAGTTTGAATGGAGTTGTACTCATAATCTGAAGTTGAATGTCCTAAAAGCAAAGGAAATGGTTTTTGATTTCCGACGGAGGACAAATGCTGTTTTGCCATTAATTATTAATCTCAGGGCAGTGTGTTAAAGTTATGTCTGCATGGACTCAAGCAGAACAGCCGCGGCTAAACAGGACTGTCCTCTTTTTAAAAGACCTTTACCGTGAAATAAATGAGTTTGATGCACTAGACAGTGTCGCTCACCATCGTATATTCTCTCTCTTCAAGCACTTTCTTGACCTCGTCTGGTGTCTCCGTGTCATCGTAGATGCTGTCACCGCTGCCGTATCCAGACGCCTGGAATGATGCAGTCAGTGGTTAGTTCATGTTCATTAGGGATTGACTGTGTGTCTGTGCTGTCTGGAGACACATGATGAAAATTAACTCTCTTTAAAAACTACAAGAATGGACCAAAAATGCCATTAAACTAAAACAATCCCACAAGCAGTAATGCTGAAATGGCAAACATAAAACATACAAATAAAACATGTTTCACAACAAGTCCTGTGTAAAGCATTTGAAACCAAATCCGTGAATAAAACCAGAGCTTTACAGTAAATGTGTTGCACAGCACAGCAAAACGCCTGCGATGTGCTGCTGTGGCCACCAGAGGCCTCTCTTACACCAGCTGTGATAGTGAGCTGCTGGTAACCAGTGCCATAAACTGCTCTGCTGTCATGTCATGAACTGGCTTTAAACACATGTCAGTATATGGAGAGCAAAATATATTATGCTTTTAAAAATATATTTATATTTTTAAAACACATTTTCAGAAATATACAAAAATGGCCAAAATATATATATTTTACAATATTTTTTATGTAAATATAATTTGAATTTTAACCTTTTATATATATATATATATATATATATATATATAAACTTTTATGGGCAGAATTGCTCATTAAATTATATTATATTTGACCTATTGATGTAAAGTGATGTATATATTTTGTGTTTATGTGAATCTGCAGATGGATCTGCTGACACTCACGTAAGGATCGTCCTCCTCACACTGTTCATTCGGAGCGCTGGGATCCGCCGTCAACAACAGCTGCTGGATCGAGCCCTGCACACACACACACACAGAGAGAGAGAGATTTCTGTAAATGTTCATTCTTCAGTCCTAAATAGCCTGAAACTGATTATCAGATGAATGTGTAAAACTCAAACACTGCTGCTGTAAATCACTGATACACAGCACACACACTCACTCACACTCACACACTCACACACTCACACACTCACACACTCACACACACACACATATGCACAGTTGCACACACACACACACACAAACACAAACACACACACACATATACACACACACACACACACAGAATCAGGAGAGTGAAGGTGACACACATCAGTCTGTTCTCCACATGTTCTGATCTGATCACGAATGGTCAGCATCAGCTCTTGACCTTTGACCTCTGTGCATGTAAAAGCTGAGGTCAGGGTTTTCTCAGCCCTCTAACGAGCTGAAGTCCTGATTAACGCAGGCGTGGCTGCAAAGACTCTTGTGCAACACATCCAGAGAAAACACACCTGTTTTCCATTCGCTGGAGCGACAACAAATGCTGAAAGTGTGGGAAGAAAGACAGAGAGAGAGAGAGAGCGAGAGAGAGAGAGAGAGAGAGAGAGAGAGAGCGAGGGAGAGAGCAAGAGAGAGAGAGAGACAGTGTAGGATCGAACCATTTCTCCTGCTGATCGGAACACGCAAATGCTGAAAGACAGAGCTAATCAATCACAGACAGCGTTCGCTGCTGACGCATGCATGGCTCAGTGCTTGTTCAGATAGAGCTGCGTTTCCCAAAAGCATCAGAAGCACAAGCAGATCTATAGAAACCATTGCCACATTTTTACATTAGCCTACATAACATTGTTACGATATATAACATTAATTCAAATATGAAGCAGCAATAATAATAATCAGAAATGTTTCTCGAGCAGCAGATCAGCATATTATACTGATTTCTGAAGATCATGTGACACTGAAGACTGGAGGAATGATGCTGAAAATACAGCTGCGCATCACAGACGCATTTTAAATTACATTTTAAAATATATTAAAATAGAAAATAGTTATTTTAATTGTTATATTTCACAATACTGCTGCTTTTACGTTTTTTTTTCTTTTTCAAATAAGTGCATCCTTGGTGAGCATGAGACGTAACAAAAAAGTATTACAAAAATCTTACTGACCCCAAACTTTTGTGTACATGTAATATTTATTTTAAATTGGCTAGTTTGTGCAAAAAAGTTCAAATGCATTGTGTAATGTTCTGTAATTGCTGTTAATAAATCTGTCAGAAAGAAATATGCTAAAGTTTCACCTTTAGGGGTACAACAGCCTGGCAGCCTTTTACAAAAATCAACCATGGTTTTATTACAGTAACCACAGTTTACCACAGTATTTGTAGTAAAACTGCAGTAACCACAAATTTACCATGATAATAATAATAATAATAATACATTTTTGTACTTATGTATCACCGTATTTATTTCTCATGAGGTATCCTCAAAGGTGCACCTTTGTAACTCATCTTCCCTTAAAGCATGCACACTTGTATGGCACTAATATGCTCACTTTTAGGGGTACAGTTGCACCTGTGAGGTGCCCCAGTAAAGGGCTAAAATACAATTATAGGATATTTCATTTCTGACAGTGTAAACAAAAAAGGCCTATGAAATGTTAAAAAACATGGCTTTAAAATCTAATATTAAGTGAGGATAATTACTGATTATATTCTTTTAAATTATTAGAGGTATCGGTATCGGCAATACTGGGCTTGAAAATATCGGTATCGGATCGCAAATAAAATAAGAGGTATCGCCCATCCCTAAGAGAGAGAGAGAGAGAGTGTGTGTGTGTGTGTGTGAGAGAGAGAGAGAGAGAGAGAGAGAGTGTGTGTGTGTGTGTGTGAGAGAGAGAGAGAGAGAGAGAGAGAGAGAGAGAGAGAGAGAGTCTTTGATAGTGTGGGTAATACTTTAAAATAAAGTTATTCATTTTAATAATATAATAAGCTAATTCATTTAAATTCTACTACTAAAAATGTACTACTACTAAAAATAAAAATAATTATAAAATTGATTAATTAATCTACATTAATGTTAATTTATAAATAGATTATAGTTTATTTTAATTGATTAACATACGTAATACATTAATGTTCAGGTTTATTTATTTATTATTCTTTTTTTTACATATTTTATTCTCCATACTTCATTTTTTATAGTCATGATTTATTTAATTGTCATGATTCCTAATGCATTAACCAAATTTACTGTCAAATAATACCAATTTTACTTATTTTCCTTTCCTTTTATTGTATTATTAATATTTTTATCTGGTCTACCTACAGAATGGTGTAATTTAAAATATTTAATACAATTTCTAATTAAAATGACCCAAAAAGGAACAATGTTGAAGCCCAAAGAAGTGAAGGAATCTGCAGCAGCTGAATTCTCTGGGTGTTTTTCACAGCCTGCAGCATCTGTGTTTCAATTAGTCATGTTGATTAGCCTGTGCTTCCTGCCAGACTGACTCAGCTAGCAGCTATGCTAACCGTGAGTCACGCTTCATTCAGCTCTGAACATCTGATCACTGCCGTCTGTCTGCATCCATGTGAATCAGCCTCACAGGATAACGGAGGAAACGTTCCCATGATCGTGTCCGTAAAGCAGGAGAATCCAATTCCAGCGATAAGAATAAACTCCATCAATATGAAAATTAGGAGTTTCTGAGTCACTGATATTTCATCCTGTTCCAATCCAGAGTCACTAACACTTACAACATACACAAGGTTGAGGGGATTTCATCCAAAACCTTTGGGAGAACTCAAAGCAGCACCTCTCAAACTGTGCAACCTGATGAAGTCTTTTCAAAGAGTGAATATAACTCAGATTTGTGTTTAAAATATCATTTTTATTTCATTTCAGCTGAATCATCTCTAATATGTATTTTCAATTTTCTGTCATTTTTGTAAACAACAGTTGAACTGTATGGATGGTGTATTTACAGTGTTCTGGTGTGTGTTTGTGGCCTGTAGACCACGGCTGTAAGTGCTGTGCTCCTCAAAGACTCGTTTACTCTGACCGTCAGATGAACAGTCTGCATGCTGACTCAGCACACACACACACACACTTTCTTGTTTCTCTGAATTCCGGGTTTACATCTTGCAACCTTTTTATTTTTGTATTCCATGGTAGAAACAGGCTTCCAGATAAATGTGTTCCTGCCAGATACTACTGTACACAATAAAGGTGTGTCACATTACTGTAGCAACATTTCATGGACCAAAAAGGTGCATATAGTCTGTCGTCAAAACTAGAGTAGCGCTGTATGAAGCACAGCTCACGCTGAAGACACTGTCACACCAGGCCGCTTTCTGTTGGCCAATGTGCTGAATTTGTGTGACCAAGTTGAACTTGAATCTGTGTTGGGAAATCTTTCACCCTCAAGCAAAATGTGCTATTGTGAGGATCCTGCGATTCTAAGCGACCAATTTAAACCCCATTGCAAAATCTTGTGCCCTGACCTTCTGTCTTGACCTTTGAGCGATAACTGATATGAACTATCTCTTCCATTTCAGTCTGAATCAGTCATGTAACAGAAAACAGAACATGTAGCTCTGCCCACAAAGAAATCTAAAATAATCTAAAATAATGGTCTAAATGGTCAACAATAATCCAAATAATTGCATATAAAAGATCAAACCTTATTGGAAACAGGGAAATGTCAGCGTGTGTGATAAGTTATAAAACTCACAGAAACTGCAAAACACAGCAGGTAAAATATAATAGTAGCTGTTTTTCGGCTCCTGATGTTAGTACAATCATCTCATATAAGCTAGAATTATCATTTTTAAACATAAAAACAAACACTTGGGTTGATTTTTTTTTTTACTGAAAAAACAAATGCGGATAAAAGACATTCTAGAGCTGATGAAGCAAACAAACACGAGGCACAGACGAGACCAATCAACTAATCAAACCAATGAATCCACCGCAGTATTCAGCTGGTCATCTACTAACACACTGATCATCTACTAACCACCGATCATCTACTGACACACCGATCATCTACTGACCACCGATCATCTACTAACCACCGATCATCTACTAACCACCAATGATCTACTAACCACCGATCATCTACTGACCACCGATCATCTACTAACCACCGATCATCTACTAACCACCAATGATCTACTAACCACCGATCATCTACTGACCACCGATCATCTACTAACCACCGATCATCTACTAACCACCAATGATCTACTAACCACCGATCATCTACTGACCACCGATCATCTACTAACCACCGATCATCTACTAACCACCAATGATCTACTAACCACCGATCATCTACTGACCACCGATCATCTACTAACCACCGATCATCTACTAACCACCAATGATCTACTAACCACCGATCATCTACTGACCACCGATCATCTACTAACCACCGATCATCTACTAACCACCAATGATCTACTAACCACCGATCATCTACTGACCACCGATCATCTACTAACCACCGATCATCTACTAACCACCAATGATCTACTAACCACCGATCATCTACTGACCACCGATCATCTACTAACCACCGATCATCTACTAACCACCAATGATCTACTAACCACCGATCATCTACTGACCACCGATCATCTACTAACCACCGATCATCTACTAACCACCAATGATCTACTAACCACCGATCATCTACTGACCACCGATCATCTACTAACCACCGATCATCTACTAACCACCAATGATCTACTAACCACCGATCATCTACTGACCACCGATCATCTACTAACCACCGATCATCTACTAACCACCAATGATCTACTAACCACCGATCATCTACTGACCACCGATCATCTACTAACCACCGATCATCTACTAACCACCAATGATCTACTAACCACCGATCATCTACTGACCACCGATCATCTACTAACCACCGATCATCTACTAACCACCAATGATCTACTAACCACCGATCATCTACTGACCACCGATCATCTACTAACCACCGATCATCTACTAACCACCAATGATCTACTAACCACCGATCATCTACTGACCACCGATCATCTACTAACCACCGATCATCTACTAACCACCAATGATCTACTAACCACCGATCATCTACTGACCACCGATCATCTACTAACCACCGATCATCTACTAACCACCAATGATCTACTAACCACCGATCATCTACTGACCACCGATCATCTACTAACCACCGATCATCTACTAACCACCAATGATCTACTAACCACCGATCATCTACTGACCACCGATCATCTACTAACCACCGATCATCTACTAACCACCAATGATCTACTAACCACCGATCATCTACTGACCACCGATCATCTACTAACCACCGATCATCTACTAACCACCAATGATCTACTAACCACCGATCATCTACTGACCACCGATCATCTACTAACCACCGATCATCTACTAACCACCAATGATCTACTAACCACCGATCATCTACTGACCACCGATCATCTACTAACCACCGATCATCTACTAACCACCAATGATCTACTAACCACCGATCATCTACTGACCACCGATCATCTACTAACCACCGATCATCTACTAACCACCAATGATCTACTAACCACCGATCATCTACTGACCACCGATCATCTACTAACCACCGATCATCTACTAACCACCAATGATCTACTAACCACCGATCATCTACTGACCACCGATCATCTACTAACCACCGATCATCTACTAACCACCAATGATCTACTAACCACCGATCATCTACTGACCACCGATCATCTACTAACCACCGATCATCTACTAACCACCAATGATCTACTAACCACCGATCATCTACTGACCACCGATCATCTACTAACCACCGATCATCTACTAACCACCAATGATCTACTAACCACCGATCATCTACTGACCACCGATCATCTACTAACCACCGATCATCTACTAACCACCAATGATCTACTAACCACCGATCATCTACTGACCACCGATCATCTACTAACCACCGATCATCTACTAACCACCAATGATCTACTAACCACCGATCATCTACTGACCACCGATCATCTACTAACCACCGATCATCTACTAACCACCAATGATCTACTAACCACCGATCATCTACTGACCACCGATCATCTACTAACCACCGATCATCTACTAACCACCAATGATCTACTAACCACCGATCATCTACTGACCACCGATCATCTACTAACCACCGATCATCTACTGACACACCGATCATCTACTGACCACCGATCATCTACTAACCACCAATGATCTACTAACCACCGATCATCTACTGACCACCGATCATCTACTGACCACCGATCATCTACTAACCACCGATCATCTACTGACACACCGATCATCTACTAACCACCGATCATCTACTGACACACCGATCATCTACTGACACACGATCATCTACTAACCACCGATCATCTACTGACACACCGATCATCTACTGACACACCGATCAGCTACTGACACACCGATCAGCTACTGACCTGCATAATAATATTAATAAATAAATACATTAATGAATAATACATATAATTAAGATGATATGGAAATAATATTATTATTATTATTATCTCACCACAAAGCGCTCCAGCCTGGTTCCTCCGGCGTTCCCTATGAAGATGCCGGAGCTGGGCTGGAAGGTGAGTGGGTCTGGACTCCTGCGGAAGGCCACGCGATGGTGCTCCTCACAGTCCATGTACAGCCTCACCTCCTCCCCCTGTACGGTCAGTGTGAAGCGCGCCCAGCGGCCCGTCAGATCACCCATCTTGAAGGAAGCTGCCTCCTGCGTGTGCACGGCCCCGGGCTCGGTGTAGTACAGAACCACGTGCTGAGACCCATCCTCCACCGGCGCCAGAGACACACCCAGATGGACGATCTTCTGCAGCGCGTCTGTGACGGCGAACAGCACTCCTCCGCGCCGAGAGCTGGGTTTGGCCGTCACGATGATGGAGAAGTCGCGGTAGAACGGGTCAGGGATGAAGGAGCGCGTCAGGCGGCCCACGTTAGCGTCCGGGCCGAAGCTGTACGCCGGGAAGCCCTCGAAGCCCGTGATAAAGGTCACAGACGGAGGCAGAGGAACGCCGATGAGCTCGGTGAGGTCCAGCTGAGCGCTCGAGGCCCGCTCTGCACAGACAGAGACCAGAGTTAATGAACGTGTCCAAACAGAGCCATTCTAGCTCATTCTGGGCCCCACAGATGAGAGGAAAAATGTCCACAAATAACAATTAACAGTTAGTGAATATGTTGAGCTGTGGTGCTTGTCTTAAAGCCAATTTATAAGGCTCATGTAATGCGTAATTATAAATATAAAATACTAATAGTCACATCTAATTAAAAATGGAAGGTGATAATATCTTTTAGCATTCAACATGAGAAGCAACAGACAGAAGAATAATTTCATAGTTATTTATTAATCACGTTATTTTTCTGAATCAGATGCATACAAAATTAAAATATATATTATATTATTATATTATATATAAATACATTTATGTGTGTATGTTTATATATATATATATAATATACAGTATATATATATATAAACAAAAACATATACATGTATGTAAATGTATAAACATATATATATATGTGTGTGTGTGTGTGTGTGTGTGTGTATGCATGCAATTGTATACATTTAAAAAATAATTTGTATATATTTATTTATCTCCAAGACTGCATTTAAAAATACAGTAAAAGCAGTGAAATATTATTAGAATGTAAAACAGCTGTTTCTATGTGAATCTCTGTTAAACTGTAATGTATTTCTGTGATGCGCAGCTGTATTTTCAGCATCATTCCTCCAGTCTTCAGTGTCACATGATCCTTTTATCAATGTTGAAAACATATGCTTGAGCAATCAGAGTTCAACACACAAGATTTTCTGATCCCATCCGCAGACAATGCATGCTTTACAAAACAAAAGATTTTATTATAAGTGCCAACGTAAAAGCATCTTTCCATCTCTATTATTTCTTTACAGTCTCAGTCCTGCTAATAATTCATGGCAAAATAAAAGTCTTTATAATCACACCATGCATTTTCCTGTTTATGAGCTGAGATCCGGCGAGCGGTTTTATTAGCACACGTTATCCTGCGCTGTAAACTCCCTCCAGGCATCCCTGCAGCTCCTGCATCTTCACTTCAATCGCCTTCTGTTTTCAGAAAGATCTGCTTGTTTCCATCACAGATGAGAAACCAAAACAGCAGCGTCTGCCAGAACTACTGTACCACAGCGGATCACGCTTTACCATCCTTTACATTTAACCAAACAACCCCAGCACACCAAACTGAGCTGGTATCAGCAGACGCTGGATCAGAACTGAAGCGCACACATGGTCTCGATTAGAGCGCAGGAGAAGCACAAACAATCAGCCGCTCTGTTACAGGCCCATCATCTGGAAGCGGTTAGTGCGGCTAATGGATCTGCTGCAAGGAACGTGCTGGAGATCTGGACCACAGGCTCTTTAATGGCGCACTATAGCAAGAAATGCCATCTTAGCATTCACACAACACCTTACCGAAGAGCTTCTACTTATTCACTAATGATAATTCACCTGGGTGAGCTTCATACATCCAGTTCAGCTCATCTCGAAGAACATTCGGTCCCAAACGTCAAATGAAGTCAAGGAATCTCAGCGTGGCTTTTTTTAAATGTAATGATATAAAACAGTCTAAAAACTAATTAATGAGTCATATCAACCAGTGCAAGTGTTTGCACACATGATTTGATGCAGCTGGGGTAAATAAAACCAATGAGGAGATCGTGAAGTCAGAAAGCTGGCAATAAGATGGATGTTCAACCTCACTGATGCCAAATCCAGCTTCAGCTTCAACAGTTACACTCACTAACGAGTCTTACACAGATGATCACACACAGCGTGGACACCTCTCAAATCTGTTGTTCGTCATGTTTTAATGCATTATACTTTCTAAAAGTGTAACAGTGAAGAGATAAGTGTTATAACTGTGGTTACAATTATTCATAAATAAGGCACTACATTATTTTATAATGCATTACATATAAAGGTTTCAAGTAGAGTGTTACCAAAGTTTATTTACCTCTTTATATGCACGCATCAATTTGGGTTTGGAGTCTTGTATGTGTCACAGTGAATATATCCACATCTTACAGCGATTAAGCCTAATAACCCGAAATATGTCGTTGTTATGCATGAAAACATATTCAATGATCACACTAATAATCTGCGTGTTTGTTATCATTTATTTCCATTTGCACATTTGGCAGTTCATGAATTCTCTATAGATGTTTGCTTTAATAAGATTTCACCAGCCTGTTGTGCAACTAGTGGAAACACTTTGCAAGTATGAAGACATTTGGGAACAGCGTGTATTTATTGCAGGTTTATGAAACGGAGCAGAGAGGTTCACTCCAGACCAGATGAAGGTCGGACGATCAAAGGCTTCTGGATAAGAGCTGAAGGTTTGATTGCCTCTCACGGGATTCAGGTCAAGTGTAATGTCAGCATGAGGAACAAGGAGGACTTTATATAGCATTTCTTTCCGTGGAATGGACCAAAGGTTGAAGAGCTGTCCGTGGGCAGAGTTCATCACGTTCATCCGCACAGAGAGAGCCGTACGGAGTCAGGAATCACGTTTGAGGATGAGAGGTTCCTCCATGCAGATTCACATGAGATTGAAAGTGACTTCAGTTCAAACATCTCTACTATGTACTATTCCAATATTCCAAATGTCAATTAAAACAATTACATAATGTTAACGGTAAATATTTTTCTCTTTGAGCTTTAAAGATATATGATCCATGAATCCCAGAGAGCCAGACCTGCGGCCGATCAGAAAAACCACCACAAGTGACGAGAACATGACAGAAGGCTCATGGGAGTGCCGTTTGTTAGCGATGAAGTGAACATGATGATGAAATTCAGATTCAGAAGAGGTCTGAGGAAACGGCTCACATTTTGAGATAGAAACACATGAGGGAATATAGCAAAGATTGTAAACCTAGAAGTACAGCGCGATGGAGCAGCTCCTCGTCTGTCTGAGCTCATGGACGGAGAAAAGCAGCAAAGGCAGCAGAATCTCAGTCGTCCAAAATGAGGTACTGCATTTGGCAGACCGGCCGGCACAGGGATGAGTGTTAAACTCAATCTATAGACGCTCCCATGAGCCTCAGAGGAGGAAAGGCCTCACTGCATTCATGAGCTCATCCATGAGAACAACACTGGAGCAAATCTGAAGGATCTCGCCTAATCAACACCAAATGCTTAAAGAATAAATACATGAGCAGAATGTATGCAATGTGAATAAAAGTCAGCGGAGCACAAGAACATTTGTATTTCGTAAAACTTGGCCAAACGTACACGGTTTATAACGGCTTTGGCAGCGCTGACCTTTGCTTCAGGACACAGAGAGACGAGGATAAACCAGCCTTATCTCCGCACAATTACCAGCTCCTGCCTCTCCCTCCAGACACACAAAACCAGTATCTGCCACTTACCAGCATTTCCCTGCTTCACCCGCTGTGTGATCCACACACCACACACACACACACACAGCAGATGATTTCAGAGCACTCACAGCACTAGAGACTAATCAGTACTTCAACCAACCCAGTGCTCATCAGCAGTGCTACTAGTCAATAAGCACTGTGTTTAGGACTGGTAAACTCTATGGAGAGTCAGTAAGTGGGGTCAGTAGTTTCTGATTGAGAAACAGATGCTATTAGTTTCTTCTGGGTGAGCTGGTTATTTAGTGGCCCAAATCAAGTGTCGATGGAAATCAGTGGAATTTTCTTTCTAGAACCACAAATGAGTCTGAGAAATATTGCATAGTTGAGCGGCTCATGAAATGTCTCTGCTGACGTCTGCGGTGTCCACGTCAGATCACTCACTGAAAGGCTGATTTGTGCAGACATCCGGTCATCCAGAGATCATCACACTGACCGTCTGACGTGTGAAACAGAGACAGAAGCAGCACAAGTGTGTCGTACGCGCTCACTGCGGTCACCAGGACAATCCGAAGAGGAGCATCATGGGAGTGCTAGGTTTACAATGTTAATATTTAAACAGTGACAACAAAAGCGCTTGGTTTGGAAAGACTGCGCTAGAAATTACACAGCTCAATATTTTGCTTTTCTTTGCTTGTTTAATAATAAAAACTTCAAAGCTGACTACGTTTCAAATAATTTGACTAATATATTTTATGCAATACTGCTACAATTTATTGCTGAAAAATATGTGTCCCTGCAGCACAAAAGCAGTGTTGAGTCGCTGGGGGATATTTGTAGCAATAGCCAACAATACATTGTATGGGTCACAATTATACATTTCTCTTTTATGCCAAAAATCATTAGGATATTAAGTAAAGATCATGTTCCATGAAGATATTTTGTACATCTCCTACCGTAAATATATCAGAACTTAATGTTTGATTAGTAATATGCATTGATAAGAACTTCATTTGGACAACTTTAAAGATGATTTTCTCAATATTTAGATTTTTTTGCACCCTCAGATTCCAGATTTTCAAATATTGTCCGATCCTAACAAACCATGAATCAATGGAAAGCATATTTATTCAGCTTTCAGATGATGTATACATCTCAATTTTAAAAAATTGACCCTTATGACTGGTTTTGTGCTCCAGGGTCACATATGTGCTGGCCAAAACAAAACTTGTTACAATATTTTTATTACTTTGTAACTTTTTTTCCTGTAACAATTAATCGTTTTGTGTATTTGATGTCACAATGTGTTCTTACAATTCTGACTTTTTTCTTATTTTTTTAGTAATTTAAATCTCACAATTAAGTTTTTTCCCCCTCTTAATTCTGAATTTACATGTTGCAATCTAGCTCAGAACTGTGAGGGGGAGAGGGGTAATTTTTATGAGAATTTTGAGATAAAAAGTTGCAATTACTGTTTTTATTTGTATTTTGTCCCATGGCAGAAACGGGCCTCTATAGTCCTGCTGTTGGGGCATGTTGTCACGGAAGGTGTGTTGCATCAAATGTTCTGGCCACTAATGTTGGAAATGCTGAAAAGCATTTTGCGAAATACAGATATAAAGTGTGTCAGCCAGCCCCAGTCTCCCCTAATAACTGGGATGATTCGTGAGTGTCTTGGCTCCACAGATCTGTACAGTAT